TGCTGCACATGCACAATAACCGCCCAATGGGATTGTCTGAGATTATTAAGATTGGTGATCTGAGCCATGGAGGCAGTAAAGACAATTTTAAACACCTTTTCCATGTGATCTAAAGGGGGCTGGGGACATAATTAGTTAGTTTAACTCTATAGTGTCAGGAACACATGCTTGTATTCCTTTAAAGACAGACTAAAAGAAAATACAGGCATCCACACTTCTTTTTTCTCAAAAGTACAGAATGTTTAATGGAAACCACAAGCAACAAATGACAATGTTTTAGCATCTGATGGTGTAACGGATCACCTGGCACCCCGACTGGGTACCTCCATTGAAGGATGCTCCTAGCGCTTCTTGAGGGCTCCAAGCACTCCAGCCGACACCATAACCAACGTAGACTCCTTCAGAGAGCAAGACAGAAACAGGCTTTTAAAAGAGCTTAGAAGTGATTATACAAGTGAGCATGCAGAGCATTGCAATCCCTTGTAGTGATCTAGCAATTCCCCCCAATAAGAGACAGGACTCTAGATTGAGGGTGAAGAAGAAATGTCTAAAACTTTATTTTCCTTGGGACTAGCCCATATGGTCATTACATTAACATTGCTGTGAAAACTCAATAAAATTTCAAACAGTCAAATCATAATACACACAAAAAGCAAGTAAAAAGTAGGCGCTCGTAATAAAATCGTCTAAAATATAACAAAACAACCTATTGATATTATAAAGCTACACCAAAAACAAGTGTAAAACTCCTCCAAACACTTTAGTGAATATACTTAAAAATAATAAGGTGCGCTGTGTCTTTAAGACCCAATAATATAAAGTGCAACAAGTGCAAACTATATAATAAAGTGCAAAGTGATACAAGTGCACTTACAAGTGCACTTAAATGACAATTAAGTGCACTTTGTATCACTTTGCACTTTATTATATAGTTTGCACTTGTTGCACTTTATATTATTGGGTCTTAAAGACACAGCGCACCTTATTATTTTTAAGTATAGTCAAATCATAACAGGCAACATACAGTGACTTATTATAATGGCATATTTTTAAAGAGGTGGGGAAGACAATAATTAACAGAAAATATCTCACGTGCCTGCAGAATTAGCAATATGCAAATCTACCCGAATATGCAAATGAACCAGTCTTGCTATTCAGGTAGTGCATATTGCTGTTGCTACCAACAGAGGGCACTAGACAAGCTCCATAGCCAAACCCACCTAGTTGGTAGCAAACCTCAGCAGTACAGGAGAGCAGGCAATACATCCCAGGAGCCATAGTCACATGGCAGGAGGCTGGCAATCAGTCTCCTCCAATACCCAGTGACGGGACTGGTTCCGCCACAGATGGCCTTTGTCAGGTTGTTAAAATTAGTTTAACTTTTGTCATGAAGTATAGTAAGGTTAGCAGACATCTGAATGCCCAGATAAATTACACTGGAAGTGTCTCTCTGAAAAGGAAACTAGTCTATGGCACATACATTTATACATAATTTTTTCATTAAAAAAAAAATTATTGCAACCATTCTGTTACAATAGATCATTATCCCACATATTGCTATAACAATATATAGAAAATACACTGATCAGTCACAACATTAAAACCACAGACAGGTGAAGTGAATTACATTCATTATATTGTTACAAAGGTACCTGTCAAAGGTTAGGATATATTAGGCAGCAAGTGAACAGTCAGTTCTTGGATTTCGTGTATTGGAAGAAGTAAAAATGGGCAAACAAAAAGATCTGAGTAACTTTGACAAGGATCATGTCTAGTGATGGCTAGACGACTGGTAGAAGTCTTGTGGTGTGTTCCCAGGCTGCACTGGTTAATATCTAAGAAAAGTGGTGCAAGGAAAGACAACAAGTGATCTGGAATCAGGGACATGGGTGCCCTAGGCTCACTGATGCAAATGGAAAGTGAAGTCTAACCCCTCTGGTCCGATCAAACAGAGGATCTGCTTGTGGCGAAAATGATGTTTGCCAGCCTCTTGCCCTATGACTATGGTCCCTGCAACAGAACTGGTTAATATACCACACTGGAGCTTGTTGACACCTATTAACAACTTGGAACGTTTCTTACCGCACTGTTCTAATTGTTCGCCTGGGTGGCCGCAATTCCTATGAACAACCACGAGGTTGCGGCCATCTTGTTCGCATGAATGCAGGCAGCGGTGTTTGGGCATGAATCTCATAGAACTGAAATTGGATACAGAAACTCCCGAACACCGCTGGACTTCCATCATCGCCTGCATTCGTTTCTATTTAGCTTAGAAGGGCACTGTTCGGTGAGATCATTCGTCTGGATGAAGGGAACAAGCTCCAGGTAAGACTATTGACTCTGTTCGGTAGTTTGTGCCTTTGTTTGTTCGTTTGCAAACTACCAAACTAGACCGGCCGCAAGCCCTGATTCTCTGGAACTGTTTTGGGCATGAACCATGCATGCGGTTGGTCAAAAGAGACTTCCAGAAATTTCCTGAACCCCTGCGCTGATCTAGGTGATTTTTGGATATGTTGTTTACCCAGATCAGGGCTATCAGGGGATGTGTTATGTTTTGGGGTACTTATTGGACTTTTTATAAATGTGTGGTTTTTCTGCCTGGGGATAATTAAGTTAGTACATTATCTACCTTAATTATATCACAGGCAGAGGGGAGGGATTGTGTGCTGTATGTGGGAGTGTCGGACATTGTTGTATTCTCTTTGGTCTGTACAGGTTCTAATGCGGTGCTTCATCAGGTCCAGGGGGTGTGCCTCTGGCCTGAGGAATTGTATATAAAGCCAACCTATACCATTAAACGTTCTGTTCTACTTCACCCTCAATCTAGAGTCTTGTCTCTTATTGGGGGGAATGGCTATATCACTACAAGGGATTGCTATGATCATCATACTCCCTTGGATAATCACTAGCTCTTGTAAGAGCTGTTCCTGCGTGACTCTCTGGAGGAAGAGAGGTTTACCCACTGGAACCTGGAGCCTTGTCGTAGGTCCAGGGTTGGTAGGAGATGGTGAGTTCCCAGCCAAGCTGTAATGCTGGTAGTGGGGGCCGCAGTGCTGATGGTGTCTGGTGGAGTGCTTGGAGTCCTTGGTGAGCACTAGGAGCATCAGTCGTCGGAGGTACCCAACAGGGGTACAGGAAGCTCTGTTACACTGCTGTAGTTCAAATTGTTGAAAAACTTAATTCTGGCCATAATAAACAGATTATGTGTAATGTCAGAACACACAGTACACCACAGTTTGTTGTGTATTGGGGCTTTTGAAGCCACAAACCATTACAAGTGCCCATGATGATCCCTGTCCACCGCTGAAAATACCTTGAATGGGGACGTGAGTGTCCAAACTGGACCATGGAACAATGGAAGATTGCTTGGTCTGATGAATCACATTTTCTTTTAGATCAGGTGGATTGCCGGGTGTGTGTGCGTAACTTAACTGGGCAAGAGATGGCAGCAGGATGCACTATGGGATGAAGGCAGGCCGGCGCAGGCACTGTTATTGTCTGGGCACTGTCCTGCTGGGAAACCTTGGGTCTTGCATTCATGTGGATGTTACTTTGACAGGTACCACTTACCTAGAGATTGTTGCAGACCATGTGCACCTCTTCATAGCAATGGTATATCTTGATATGACAGTGGCCTCTTTCATCAGGATAATACACCATGCAAAACATGTTCAGGAATGGATTGTGGAACATGACAAGAGTATTTTCTTGTCATCTAAATTACCTAACTCTCAATAAGTTTGAGAATCTGTGGAATGTGTTGGAACAACAAATCCAATCCATGGAAGCTCCACCTCATAACTTGCAAGACTTAAAGGATCTGCTGTGAGCATGGGGCCATATACCACAAGAGGGGGTAATTGGACGCTGGGCACTTACTCTATCCTCCAGCCTGGATATATCCTACACATTGAGCGCTTGACTGAAAGATACCCTGATTTGCTGTGGAATTCTTCACCAGACCGGGACTGTGCCTTGATCCAGTGAATCTTTGGTCAAGTATCACTCAGACCCCGACCAGCAATCCAAGAGCTATTTGAGGATTTCAGGGAGGTAATGAGGAATTATGCTCAGAAGATGAGGGCCCTCCACTCCCCATGGCTCCAAGAACCCCTTTTAAGAGATTGGAGACAAACCAACCACACGCCTTGAACTCCTCACTGACTCAGACAATAGCTGCAACCCGATAAAACCTTAACATGCTGCTGCTTGGGCGTTGATTCTTCAATCAGGGCACTATTTGTTTAGTGGAGATGCTCTGTGAAGAGGTATATGTAGGGGTGCTGTCCAGGGGGTTCTGGGGAAATCCTTCTACATCATGTCTCTAGGTCTATAAGGGCATGGCACAGAAGGGAGACTATTGTGTTAAGAACACAGATAAAGTGGTGCTGGAGATGGGAATACTGTGCTGGCCATTGCATTGAATCGAGAAACCCTAGGAGGGAGAATCCACGTTTGGTCTGTATAAATAGATGTGTGTGCAATGAAGGTTGGTCATTCTAACCCCTACATTCAGTGTTGCCTAAAGTGTGTCAAAAAGGGGTTATAATAACTTTTGCTGTACAGGAAGGAAGGCTTACAGAGAAAAAATCCAGTCACAAATTCTATCTGCAGTGCTTACTCCTTGACTTCTGAATTCCTCAGCAAATGTCTTCATCCCAACTAGGCCTCATCCTGCACGAGGCATTCGCTTCCTTCTTTGGCTCGACGGAGCCTGCCTGGAGGCACCTTCAAAATCGTGAGGCCTTCAGCAGGTGCACAGCGTAATCATTGTTTGGCTTATTTCTTTTACTTTTAAATCACATTAATGCTCGTTTTTGTACTTTACATTTAGTTTATTATTGTGCACAAATGTATTGGCTGAGTACATGGCATTAATGGGGCATTTGGAAGTGCCTGT